CCCAACTCAATTTTTCACAGGGTTAGAAAGAGCAATTCTCAAATTCATATGGAATAACAAAAAACTCAGGATAGCAAAAACTATTCACAACAATAAAAGAACTTCGGGAGGAATCACCATCCCTGATCTCAAGCTGTACTACAGAGCAATAGTGATAAAAACTGCATAGTATTGGTACAGAGACAGGTAGGAGGATCAATGGAATAGATCTGAAGACCCAGAAATGAACCCACACACCTATGGTCACTTGATCTTTGACAAAGGAGCTAAAACCATCCAGTGGAAAAAGGACAGCAGTTTCAACAAATGGTGCTGGTCCAACTGGAGGACAACATGTAGAAGAATGCAAATTGATCCATTCTTATCTCCTTGTACAAATCTCAAGTCCAAGTGCATAAAGGACCTTCACATAAAACCAGATACACAGAAACTAATAGAAGAGAAGGTGGGGAAGAACATTGAATACTTGGGCATAGGGAAAAAGTTTCTGAACAGAACACTAATGGCTTATGCCAAGATCAATAATTGACAAATGGGACCTCATAAAATTGTAAAGTTTCTGTAAGGTAAAGGACACTGTAAATAGGAAAAAACGGCAACCAACAGATTGGGAAAAGATCTTTACCAATCCCACATCTGATAGAGGGTTAATATCCAATATATACAAAGAACTCGAGAAATTAGACTGCAGACAACCAAATAACCTTATTAAAAATGGGGGTACAGAGCTAAACAAGGAATTCTCAACTGAGGAAACTCAAATGGTCGTGAAGTACCTAAGAAATTGTTCAGCATCCTTAGTCATCAGAGAAATGCAAATCAAAACAACCCTGAGATTCCACCTCACACCAGTCAGAATGGCTAAGATCAAAAACTCAGGTGATAGTAGATGCTGGTGAGGGTGTGGAGAAAAAGGGACACTCCTCAATTTTTGGTGGGATTGCAAGATGGTACAACCACTCTGAAAATCAGTTTAGCGATTCCTCAGAAAATTGGACATAGCATTACCTGAGGACCCATCTATACCACTCCTGGCATATACTCAGAAGATGCTCCAACATATAAAAAGGACATATGCTCCACTATGTTCATAGCAGCTTTATTTATAATAGCCAGAAGCTGGAAAGAACCCAGATGTCCTTCAACAGAGGAATGGATACAAAAAAAATCTGGTACATTTACACAATGGAGTGTTACTCAGCTATTAAAAATAATGAATTTGAGAAATTCTTAGGTAAATGGATGGAACTAGAAAGTTTCATCCTGAGCAAGGTGACCCAATCACAAAAGAACACTCACTGATTATTGGATATTAGCCAAGAAGCTTGAAATTGCCAAGATTCAACTCGAAGACCACATGAAGCTCAAGAAGAAGGAAGACCAAGTTTGGGTTCTTTGGTCCTTCTTAGAAGGAGTAATAAAATCCTCAAGGGAGCAAATATGGAGACAAAGTGAGGGACAGAAACTGAAGGAGGGGCAGTCTGGAGACCATTCCACCTGGGTATCCATTCCATGTGCAGTCACCAAAGGTAGATGCTGATGTGGATGTCAGGAAGTGCATGCTGACAGGAGCCTGATATAGCTGTCTCTTTAGAGGTCTGCCAGAGTCTGACATATTCAGAAGTGGATGCTCACAGCTAACCATTGAACTGATCAAGAGGTTCCCAATGGAGGAGTTAGAGAGAAGGAGCTGAAGGAGCTGAAAGGGTTTGTGGCCCCATGAGGAGAGCAACAATACCAACCAACCAGAGCTCCCAGGGTCTAAACCACCAGCTTGGGAGCACATAGGGAGAGACTCATGGCTCCAGCTGTATATGTAGGGGAGGATGGCCTTGTCTGTCATAGGTGGGAGAGAAGATCCTTGGTCCAGTGAAGGCTGGATGTTGAGTGTGGGGGAATTCGAGGGTGGGGAGATGGGAGTGGGGGGGATGGGAGTGGGGGGGTGGATGGGGGAACATCCTTATAGAAGCAGGAGGAGGGGGATGGGATGAGGGTTTCTGGGCGGGAGAGAAATGGGGCAAGGGGATAACATCTGAAATGTAAATAAAATATCCAATAAAAAAACCAAAAACAACAACAATAACAACAACAACAAAAAGAAAATGGCATTATAAGGGTGGGATAGATTGTTCAGTGGGATAAAGTCCAATGGAGACCTGAGTCTCCAACTGTAGAGTTGAGTAATGACCATTCAAAGCTGTCCACCGTGTCTTAGACTTAAGAATGACAATTTGATCCTGTCTAAACTTCTCCCACATGTGTCTGCTATAAACTTTTGATTGTTACTTGGTCACAGCTACAATATTTCATTATAAAAACAGCACTGTATTTGCCATTCTGTTGTACTGTTTCATTTGTTTCTCCTTTACAAGCTGGGTTTGTGGTACAATTTTAAATTTTAAATAGAGAAATGTCTTATTTTTTTCTAATTTGCAAGTAAATTGTTCTTTTGATTAAGAGAACAAAGAAGAGGCTAGCGTTGCCAGTCTACTTCAAGAATTTCTGTGTGATTATATAGGCGTCTCTACAAGGAGTGCAAAAGTATCATCTCTTGTAGGCAGAAGACTACCTTGGTAGTTTGAGGATTACATTTGATTCTGAAGTTAACCACTAACCCTACTCATACCAGGCCCTAGACTAGACTAATCTTTTAAAGTCTCTCATGTGCTCAATACTCATTTTTGATTTACCACGTATTTGGGCAGTTATTTGAACATAAGGCAACACTGTGGAATACATTGCTAAATTAGACATCCATGGTTCATGATTTCAGGAAGTTTGTGATTTGTTAGAAGAGATAATAACTGACAAGTAAAGAGATGGCCATATTAAAAATTAGACAGTGTGGCTCCATCTATTCCAGGACAAAATAAAATGCTGCTGATAAAAATACAGAGGTGTATTTATATATTAGTAAAATATAATACTCTAAGCAGGGGAAGGAATCAATCTTTTCTACATGAAAGACTTTCCACAAAGAGACTCTGAAGAGAAGCTCAGAGGGGAAAACCTAATAATCCACACTCATTAGTTGCTCCCAGTTGATTGCCCAATGATTCTGACCTCCTGATTTTCTTTTTGTTTTTTTCCCCCTTTTATTCCATCCACATCTTTGGTTTCATTTGTGTTTTAGACAGATTTACGCTATCTCATTATTGGAAAGTTTTCATAACATTTTACTTTGTGTTTTGTTGTAGAGTTTCACATTATGCTTTTTAAATAAATCTCAAAGTTGGCCAAAACACATCCAGCTTAAACCTTTACTGATTGCCTCGAGAAAGCAAAAACTAAAGCTAACACAGAAAAATTACATATGTCCAGAGTCAGAACATTCATTTAACATTTTTTATTTGTATCAAATATTCCCCAGTTCATCATAATATTCATTTCTTAAAATTCTCTTATTTATTCCTTTTTAACTGAGGAAGAAGTCTCTAAAAAATGCCTACTTTTATGTACCATAATTGTTAGCCTAGAAAATACATTGTATTCCATATGCATGTCAGATTATTTTCATTCTTGGATCTTTCCCATGTGTAGAATTGTAGACTTAAGAGTCATATTTATGATAGCTGCCACTAGGGACTCTGATTATGTGTACTTTTTATTTACAAGCATGTTTTTTAGAGTAAAGAGAGTTCTGCTTCATTATTTTATGTTGTCACTATCATAATACACAGTGAGGAATTTGGTGCAGAGTTCTTAATGACCAGTTGACTGAATTGTGAATGGACGAACCTTTTTAAAAAACACTTTCTTCTATGGTTTCAAGTCTTTAAAAAAAATGACATATGTCATTTCCATGATAAAGAAACCACAAACTTATTTCACATTAGTATTCAAAAGAGCTGTTTAATTGAGAAGAGTACATTTAAGGCTAACATGTAGACTAGCATTGTGGTTTTCTTTTAAGTCTTCTGAGATGAGACTAAGGGTTTGGATTTCACAAAACCAGGAATGTGAGAAGCACAAATTCAATTTTATGGGAGAGAAAAAGAAGGAGGAAGAAGAGGAGGAGACAGGGAGGAGGAAAGGGAGAGAAGACGAGGAGGAAAAGTGATGTGTATGGGAAAACAGAAGAGAACAAAATTTGCAAAAGAAAAAAAAGTTTTTTTCAGAAGGAAGATTATCCTGCCCTTGCTCTCCGGGCCCTCCCTCTGAGTCGATCGGCCTTGTAGCTGCTGGCAGTGTCCATCCCTGACAGGAGAGCCAGTATTCCAAGCTTTCATCATGGACTGGGGACCAGCTCCAGGAATCATCCAGACTCTGAATGCCAGAATGGGGCCTACTGAGGTGCCCTGCCTTGTGGATCACTAGTCATCTCACTCTAGTGAGACAGCTATTCTAGGGCCTACTCTGACCATGTGACTTATGAGTTCTCAGCTTCTCGGGTGTGATTTAGCCTCTGTTGCTATTTTAAAGCACACTTAATAAGTTCTTCGATATATACAAATGTGTGTGTGTGTGTGTGTGTGCATGCATGCATGCATGTGCGCATGTGTGTACATACATATTTATTCACCTTGTTCTATTATTCCTCTACAATTTTCCAGACTCCACCTGTTAGATACTCTCTTACTCCTCCTGCACTTCCTAGAGAATTTTACTCTTAAGACAGCAAAGGAAAAATGTTACTGTTGGCACCTCTACTGTTTTACAGTTTGCCTAGTTGACAGATAGAAAGGATTCCATCCTGAGCCCTTCACATTTACCTGAAGAGACAAAGATGATTTTTCATTGCTAAGTGGGGTCCATTGTCAATAGGATTCAATTCAGGGCCTCAGAAAGACCCAGCCAGCCTGTGTATTCACCATCTAACCCAGGAAGTGCTGGAGGGCAGCATGAAGTTGCTCTGGCTTGGAGCGGTACCCAGGGGAGATTGGGGGTGGGGGTGGGGGCGATAGCCATCACTTTCAAGTTTCTGTTGGCCTGAGTAGAAAATGTTTGATGTCAGGGAGAAACTCTTACCAAGAACTCCCAAAGCAGAAGGAAGGACTCACCATGTTGTCCATTGACAGGAGCTGGAAAACAAACAAACACACACACTAAGAGTTAAAGATAAGGGCACTGAGTAAGGACTTTTTTCCTATTTGAAAAGATAATGTTTCTGTACCCATTTTACTACTTAACAATAAAAAATCATTTATAAAAATGTTGAGAATTGTTTGTCAAATGTTTGTATTTGTGAAGACATTCCTATGAACTTTAAAAATAAATTTTAAAATGTTATTGTCAGATAAAAAAGTATAATCCTGGAGGGAACAATAATAAGACACATAGGCTAGCCAGCTCAATGTGTGTGCATATGCGTGTGAGTGTGTGTGTGTGTGTTTGTTGAGGATGTGGGTATACCATGGATGATACTTGAAAGAAATTATGGCCAAGAACACAGGAATCATCCAAGTGAAGGTTGACACTGTGCCTGGCATGAGAACATACAGAGAGGGTGGTCAAGGCAAGAAGGTCACAGGAGTAAAGGACCTGGTGTCCTGAGGTGGACTGAGCAGCTCTGGAGGGTGAGGAGTACTGGGAGAGACATGGTTGGGGAAGACTTCAGGGCCATTCTTTTCTTATAGAAGCCGTGTGGGAACTACAGAAAGAGTCCAAGGAGTGTGGTGAAGTCAGAACTTGAGACGGAGTATTCTGGCAGAGAGTCTCCCATGGAGAGGACGGGAAATACCCCAGCATGGTGATGGCAAAGGTTAACGTCTTTCAATGTATTTATCCAGGATTATCTGAATTGTGTGTGTGCTTGCTGCTTATTCATAAAGCCTGCTCTAGACTGTAAGGCCTGCTCTGCAATGGGACAGCTGTAAACTTTCTTGAATAATGAATCATTAAAAACAAAAAAACCAAAAAACCTCCCCAAAACCCAGAAAGGCAAAACCCTAGGGTTGTAATAGTAGAAATAGGTCAGGTTGGAGAAATTAGTAATGAGGAAAGGAAGTAGGCAGAGCTCAACAGGGTTATTAATTTATAAATTATCCAGAGAAAGGTTGGATTTGATTCTTTCACTTAAAAGAAATTTCTAGAATGCCAGTAATTTGCTGGGAAATGCAATAAAAATCCAGCTGTGAGTGAGGGACACATCATCCCTATTGGAAATGTTAGAAGAGTGGTCTAAATCCAAGGTTTTTCATTGAGATCAAATAATTAGTCACTGTTACCTACATATCACGGTTATCATGGCTTTTGTATTTGGGGGTTTCTAGTTGGTATGCATTTACATGTCATTCCATGTAATTTTCTCAGAAACACTCTAACTTAAGTTCCATATCACAGATAAGAAGGCTGATTAAACTTAAATGTTGAACATCCTTCACCAGTGAAGAAATGAAAATCAAAACTACTTTGAGACTTCATCTTATACCTGTCAGAATGGCTAAGATCAATAACTCAAGTGGTGGTTCATGCTGTTGAGGATATTGAATAAGCAGAAGACTCCTCCTCCATTGCTGGTGGGAGTACAAACGCGTACAGCCACAGTGGAAATCAGTGCAGCAGTTCCTCAGGAAGATGGGATTTGATCTACCGTAAGATCCAGTTATACTTCTCTTGGGCATATTCAATTTACACTCCAGGGGACCACAAAGATAATCACTCAACTATGTTCACTGCTACTCTATTCATAATAGCCAGAAAACAATATAGATGTCTCTCAACAGAAGAATGAATAAGGAAAATGTGACACATTTACACAATGGAATATTACTCAGCCACTTAAAACAAAAAAAAAAAAACAAAAACCAAACAAAAAATCACATTATGAATTTGCAGACAAACGGATGGAACTAGATAAGATCATGCTGAGTGAGGTAACCCAGACCCAGAAAGACCGATATGGTATGTAGTCACTAATATGTGGATATAAACTGTTAAGTCAATGATAACCAAGTTATAATCTCTAGAACCACCGAGGGTTGGTATAGAGGATAACAGACTAGGGGGAACAGATAGGTCTCCTTAGGAAAGAGAAATGGAATATATAATTATGGATGGATGGAGAGAGGCTGGAATGGGGGTCATGACGGGGGTGGGGGGAGAGGGAGTTAAGTGAAGGAACACAGTGAAAGACAGCTAAAATCAAGGGGTATGTGAGGGGTAGTATGGAAACAATACAGTAGAAACTTCCTAAAATATATACATATATGGAGGATGTCTAAATGAAATCACCAAATAATGGGGAGACAGAGCCCCACGGGCCATCTCTTGTTACCAAGCAAAGCTTCCAGTACTGGAACCGGGTAACATCTAATGGAGTTGTTGGCCAAAGAGGACTCATGGGAATCCTCAAACAACCCAGGTTGTTGACAAGACTGTAGTTTCCCCTTCACAAACTGGCAGCAAGGCCCCATTGCTGAAGACAACACCCATATAACTCACAACATGGAGAAGTTGAGTTGGTGCCTGCACAGAGCCCTTATTCCTATTCTTGTGTCTTTGGTGTAGGAAGATACTCTGCACACTACCATAAAAACAAACACGGATTAGTCCAGCCACGCACCTTCTGATCTACATTTGTGTCTTGCTGGCAAGATATGCTAGGGCCACGGTGGCACAAAACTTGTGGGAGTAACCAGCCAGTAAGTGATTGGACTTAAGGTTCACTCTATGAGATGGAATCCATACCCAACACTGCTTGGGGGACCAAGAACCAGAGACTAGATAGCCCAGTGATTGAAACCCAAATATTGCTAGTGTTAAAAAAAAACAAAATAGAAATGTAGTGACTGACTGCTAATGATATTCTGTTGTACTGGTAGATTAGTACATTGTTCAGTCATCATCAGAGAAGTTTCCTCATGCAGTAGATGGGAACAAAACCAGAGACCTACCGTCTGGCATTATCTGCACACACACACACACACACACACACACACACACACACACACACACACACAGAGAGAGAGAGAGAGAGAGAGAGAGAGAGAGAGAGAGAGAGAGAGAGAGAGAGGGAGGGAGGGAGGGAGGGGATGTCTCTATCAAATCCTTCCCCCTCAGAGCTCAGGAACTCTGCAGGAAAGGAAACAGAAAGGGTGTAAGAGCCAGTGGGGGTGGAGGACACCAAGAAAATAAGGCCCTCTAAATCAACACAAGCAGAGGTCATTGGAACTCACAGAGACTGAAGCAGCAAGCACAGGGCCTGCATATGTCTGCACCAGGTCCTTGGAGTATATATTAAGGCTTCCAGTTTAGTGTTCTTACTCCTTTAGTGTTCACACTCCTAAGTGTGAGAACAAGTGGGTCTGATTCTTGTACCTGCTCTTAGACTCTTTTCTTCTGTTGGTTTGCTTTGTTTAACTTCGATGTGATAGTTTTTGTATTATCTAGTTATATTTTTTTGTTATCTCTCAAAAGCCCATTGTTTTCTAATGAGAGTCAGAAAGAGAGTAGATTCACATGATAGGGGAGGTAGGGAGGAAGTGGAAAGAGAAGAGGGAGGGAAATCATCATCAGAATATATGTGAGAAAAGAACCTATTTTCAATAAAGAAAAAAGGAAGGAAGGAAAAAAGGAAGCTAGTTAAGTGGCTAGTAGATGGTAACACAGATTTGAATCCAAACTCTAACCTTAGCTCACAGTGCACCTTCCTGTCCTGTCCTGTCCTGTCCTGTCCTGTCCTGTCCTGTCCTGTCCTGTCCTGTCCTCCTCTCCCTTCCCCTTCCCTCCTCTCTCCTGCCTTCTTAAGTACCATGTTTGGATGTGCTTCTGTTTCTGATGGGCCTTGCCCCATCTGCTGCTCAGTCCCTGAGTTTCAGGAGCTATTTATCAGCTGACTTGTATGTAGATAATTATCTGTCTGTGTCATCCACTGGGATTTTTTTTTAATTGTTAGAAAATTAAAATTAAAAATTTTAATTTTTACTAGAATTGTTAATTCTAGTAAAAAAAAATGTTTCCCAGCTGTTTCTTGTGCACTGGCTTTGCTGTGCGCTCTTCTGTAGTTGACCTTTGTGGGCACGAAAGGGCCCACCGTCCTCAGCATTGTGTATAATGCTATGCATAATGGCTCTAAGAATTTTTTTCAATAGATGGACACACATTTAATTCTAATATTTAAAACTTAGTCAAAGGCAAACCCTTTGTAGGCATGAACTGACAGAAATGCATGCATATCCATGGGCAGTGACATAGTCACTGCTGTAGGTACCCCTCCTTCCTGATTTCCCTACTTGTTCTTAAGGCACCCAGTCCTGCTCCTGGCTCTCACTAATGTGCAGATCCTCTGTCATCTTAGGCACAAGACCGGGGTGTAGCCTGTCCACAAAGGATTAGAATATACTTCTCATTTGAATAAAAGAGTTTGAACAAGCAAGTGTGATTCACTTTCTGTGCTTCATAAAGTATTTGTTAAAGAAAAAAAAAGCAAGTGAAACTTAATTGCCATTGTTACAGTTTATTTTTCTGTCCATTGAAGGATTTTTTTTTCAACCTGTAACTACTTTCTTTGGGCACAGGAGAGGAAATTCTGAGCTGTTCAGTAAAGTTGGGGATCACAGCCTCACATGGGGAAACTGAGGAGCTGAAACTCAAGAGACAACCAGGCCTGTAGTGGAGAGAGATGCTGTCCGACCCACTCTATCCCCATATTGAGCCATCTACTCACTCACAACCAGTAGAGTCAGCCACAGCTGTGTGAACGCCACACAGGGTGAGGCTGAGCCAGGCATTTGCTCGCAGGTAGTCCTTTCCTCTTGCTCTCGGTTCCACTGTAGTCAGTCACAGCTCCATGGAGAAATCTGGGAAACTGCTCTTCTAAAACAGTTGAGTGTGTCTTGAATCAGAAGAAGGAAGTAGGCGTACCCATATTTAACTGTTAATTAGTTTCCTGCCCTACAGCCAAAGTGAAACTTTTGGGGTTTTAAAAAATCACATGCTCTCAACACCACATTTTGGCATTGGGGAAATTACCTTAAGGAAGATGGCTCTATAAAAAATGATGGTTATTCATCACTGTCTGAGCATGTAAGCATCATACATGATCATGCCTGTGGGATTGTTACAATTACATCATTATTGGTGAGGTTAAGCTACATATATGTAAAAGGGCAAGACCATCTCAGCTACTGGGAGTGAGAATGTGAGGCGTGGACTGGAATTTGTAGAGTGTCCTTTATGGAGGCAAGAAATGGAATGTATGTGTATATGAAAACCTCTCAGGGTACTATTTTCCCCTAGAGAATGCACAAAATTACCAGTTGTATTTGAGAAATTAAGGGGGAAATAGGTATTTCATTTTGTCTTTCTCTGCTGTTTTTCTCCCTTTAAATTACTATGTGAGTGGTTTGCTTTCAAATTTAAATCTAATTTTTTAAAAGTGGAGTTTCTATTCTGACAATGTGTCCACAAAATTCCGTGTATTGAGATATGAAAGTTTCTTTCTTACAGACAACTTTTCCCATAGTTTCTTTCTGGACTCAGACCTGGATCTTCCCAAAGAGATATTTAATTTCCTATTTATCAATGCCTTGGGTATTTGTGTCACAGCAATATCACTGTGCCCTGAGGAAAACATTCAGGGATAAGGAGATTAATCTGTCACAGCTCAGGAGGGAAATCTCAAAAGGAAGCATGTACTATGCATTTGGACCTGAGACAGAAGGTATGGTTGTGAATATTCTGCATGTCCCCTGTAGATATGAGCACACATTTCTACTGGGCATACACTTGGGGGCAGGTTCCTGGCTATATAGCATGCAATACTGTGTCCAGTTCAGACAGTGTTGCTGAGTGACTTTCTGATATGATTGAGTCAATGGGAACACCACCAGGTAGCATAGGGGAGCTCATTGCCCGCCCCCCCTCCAGCAGCTATGTGCTCAACTTAATGAGAGCACCACCAGGCAGCTTAGGGGAGCTCACTGGCTCCCCCACTCAGCAGATGTGTGCTCACCTTGTACATTTTATTCATTTCAGTGAATTATGAGTTTCTAACTTTTTCATATTATTCGGTTTATGAATTTTTAAAAGAGAAGGTATTACTATATATCTCTGGATGGCTTGGAGTTCATTCTGTAGACTGGGCTGACCTTGAACTCACAGAGATTTGCCTGTCTTTGTTTCCTAAATGCTAGGACTAAAAGTGTGTACCACTATGCCTAGCAGACTTTTTTTATGTTTTAAATGGTATCTTAGATAACTTTTCTTAAAATGTGAAAAGTTTGTTCAAATCCTCCACCTTTCTCATCCTGTTTTGTACTGCTTTCAATTCTGGAGATAAGTTTTTTGAACACATTCATGAAGTATCTCTTCTTACTCTGGCTTTTCTTCTTGGTCATTGCTATTGCCTTCTTATGAATTATTATTTCAGATTTGATATAGAAGAATTTATCAGTCTGTTTTAGTTAGGGTTTTGCTGCTATGAACGGACACCATGATCAAGGCAAACTCTTATAAGGACATTGGGACTGGGTTACAGGTTCAGAGGTTCAGTTGTTATCATGGTAGGAACATGGCAGCATCCAGGCAGGCATGGTGCAGGAGAAGCTGAGAGTTCTACATTTTCATCTGAAGGCTGCTAGCAGAATATTGGCTTCCAGGCAACTAGGATGAGAGTCTTAAGGCCCACACCGACAGTGACACACCTACTCCAACAGGGCCACACCTTCTAATAGTGCCACTCCCTGAGCTGAGCATATACAAATCATCATACAGTCTTTCAGTCCATGGCTAGGGATTTTTACAACCCCATTCATAAACTTTGTATACTCCAAAGGTCTTGATATTCTCAGCTTGTCTCTAGATATCTAGAATATCACAGCTAATTTTTTGTGTGTATGATAAGTGAACATGTTTATTTATATTTATTGCATAGAATTTGCACCACAGCTTCAGACAGGATCACGAAACTGGTTATGGGGATTGTGAGAACTTTGGCAACAGCAAAATGTTTTTTAATGTATACTGACTCCAAATCAACTCAAAATAAAACAAACATGACAAATATAGAGCATTTCTGGCAGTGGTCACCCTTGTTGTATGATGGGGCTTCCTTGTGGCCTTGGTACTGAACATACAACTTATGTGTATGCCACCATTCCACCCAACACTAACAAGCTTTCCCTGAAGCTCAGACTTTTTATATAAGTTCAGTATTCTTACTGTATGTATAATTGTTTAATTATGGAAAAGAAAAACTGAGCATTTTCCTACCAGCCTTCCTCAGCATGTGTCAGATTAGCACATACTAGGATTGTACTATGTTTGGAAGTTTGATTGTTTTTTTTTTTTTGTTTTTTTGTTTTTTTTTTTTTAAAGCTCTTTAAAGAGACTGGCAAAATGGCTCTGTAGAGGGGTGTTTATGGTCAGTCTGAAGAGCTGAATTTGATTCCTGAAACCCACAGAGCGGAAGGAGGGCAGCAACCCCTGATGGTCTCCCTGTGTATGGACATGGCCTCCAGAAGTAAATACATATTTTTAAAATGGCTGCTTGAGTTACTGATTCATTGAATGGATTTCTGCTTTGAATCAGAACAGGATGTCCAGTTTCTGAGGTGGCACCACAATACTTCTGACATTTTGGATGTCATAGTTATGTGAAGCAGTATTCTCTACACTGATGATTATAAAATTATTAACAAGCTCTGAAAAGTCTATGGCCATACCACCCTGAAGTGCCCGATCTCATCTGATCTCAGAAGCTAAGCAGGGTTGGGCCTGGTTAGTATTTGGATGGGAGATCGCTGGAATACCAGGTGCTGTAGGCTTAAAAGAAAAGAAAAAGAAAAGAACATTCAGCCAAGAGGTAATTCTTCAAGTAAAACATACACACCTATCTCCAATTTGCTTTTATCTTTAGTAAATGGTAAAATAATATGTATACAAAAGAATTGTTTAAAAATAAATTTCTTTATTTTTATGATCTATTACCAATAATGTTTGATATATGCATATTTGGTTTATATACCTACTACCTGGGGTAACAAATAAATAAAGCTTAAGAAGCCCTGATTTGGACACTTTATGCAGCTGAACTTGCAGAAATTTGATTTATTCTACAACCTGGGTTCTTTTAAATTTGTTGCATGCACAGTTCTATTGCTTGGGAATATTGCCAATTTTATTTGTTACTTTTTAAGTACTTAAACCCCTTTCCCTCTCACTATCACCCTGAGGTTGAACTTCAGCCTGGTGTTGAATGACATCCTCTTGACCTCACAGGGAAAGCACTTAATATCCCACCATTATGTAAAATGTTTTTGAGTAAGCTTCTTTCTGTACTGAGTTCAGTTATAGTTTTCTTCAGTAGAGAATGTTGAGTGTTATTAGTAACTGTCAGATTGGGATTGGTGGAAGAAACTTAGAAATAAATGAAATAGACATTTCCAGAAGCAGAACTGGTCCCTCAATCAGAATAACTGAAGAGCCACGGTCTATGGGGGAGTAGAAACTGTGCGCAGGTGGCACAGGGGTTTTATAGAGCAGAACAAGGCTGGGATGGAAGTGTCCGTCTGCAGGTCAGTTCCAGGGAGGTTCGCGGTGCTGGACTTCCGCTCCTATCAGCGGACTAACAGCCCACAGATGCTATCAGTCAACTTTCCCAGCCTGAGCATCTCGTCAACCAGAGGCTTTTAAGTCAGTAACTTTCCTCCTTGCTGAAACTAGACACTCAACAGAAGCAAGTTCATAGCAGAGAAACTAAGCGGATGCACGTCTTGTGGGGAAGCTGAACGGCCTTGGCCTGGCAGACCTTGATTACTGTAGTGCGCGTTCCGGTAGCAGAGAGCTTCAGTCTGGGATTCTGGGTTACAGTCCTCAAAGATCTGACCCACAAGTGACTCACCTCACTCAGCCGTGTCACCTATAACAAAGGTTTCTACATCCTCTCCGAAACATGCTAGCAACTGGGAACAAATGTCGGAAGACCTGGGCCAGTGAGAAGCATTTCACATTCGGAGCACAGAATTTTGATAAATGTTTCCATCAGATTAAGAACATAGGCTTCTGTTTTTTAGTTCACTAAGAGTTTGTCCTAAATAATGGATATTGAATTTTTGTTAACATCAGTTTTGCATTTATGTTGAGATTACATGACTTTCCCTTTCCCTCTCTCCCCCTTTCTCTCTCCCTCTTTCTCTTTGTCAATATGGCAAATTAAATTGATAGTTACAAATGTGAGGTCAACTCTACATTCAGCTTGTCTATGATATGCTTATTGACCTTGGCTTACAAGTTTGGTTTTGGGTTTTGGCATTTGTGTCCACAAGAAAGATAAACCTGCAATTCTTTCTTTATTAATTTCTGTACCAAAATTATAGTGGTCTCATAAATCAGACTTTTTTTGTATTCTCTTGAAGAGTTTTTATAAAATGAGTGTTGCTTATCCCTTAAATATTTGGATGATTTTACTATTTAAGCTAACTAGCTTTTTATTTTCTTGGTGTGGAGGTAGGAAGATGAATTATTACAATTGAGTCTTGAAAGTGATATGGGGTTTATTCAGATACCTTATTTCTTTTTGTGTAGGTTTGGTAAATTGCGTACTTCCTGGAATTTGCTTGACTGTGTTTCCAAATCACTACACAGTTTATACTTTCCCGTAATGTCCCCAGTGTCTGTGATGTCTGCAGCATCTCACAGGACACAGCTGGGATTCACCTTTCCTTTCCTAGTTGATACTCAATCATGTCTGCTAAAAAAAAAAGACAAAAACAAAAACAAAAAAAAAACAAAAACAAAAAAGAATCTCCCTTTGTCTCTTATCTGTCTCTGTAGAGACTCATAAACAGAATTAGCTCCCTTAAAGAACCTTTGGCTTTGTCATGGAATA